AGGGCCGAAACCATCCAAATAATTATTAAAATTAAGTTGAATTAAGGTGTTTAGTCCCGTTGAAGATGAAACGGGACTAAACACATTAATTCAACTTAATTTTAATAACTATTTGGATGGTTTCGGCTCTCGTTTTTGAAACATGAGAACTCCTATGTAGCGGAGGAATCATATTTTTAAACAAAAAGATATTATAATATAAGCTCTACTTCTGTATGGAGCACTGTCTTCTTAAAAATAAAAACAAAAATACTAAGGAACTCCGGCTTATGCACCCAACGTGTTTTTTTCTTTTTCTGCATACCTGCTGCATATATATATATATATATATATATATATATATATATATATATATATATATATATATATATATATATATATATATATATATATATATATATATATATATATATATATATATATATATATATATATATATATATATATATATATAAATATATGTGTGTGTGTGTGTATGTGTGTGTGTATGCGTAGATTTAATGGGTCGGTTAATAAATTCGAGGAATAAAAAAAAAACAAAATGATAAAAAAATATTGCCAATAAATCTGATAAATATTTATTTTATATTAGTAGGCCGCGTGACTTAACCTAAGCACGATGATAAATATTTTCAAGTCGGAATTTTCGGACACGCCTGTTTCCTTTGTCAACGAGATGAGAAATAAACAATGAGGAGGGACTCACTCTTTTGGGGAATTTTGTTGTTGTTTTTTTCATGTGCTGTATTACTGTGAGAAATTTGGCAGTTTCGGCTTTGCCCATGATTTAGGGTTGTGGATTGTTTTTAAAAGGCTCTCTGTTGAACCTGTATTGTCTGTAATGTTTGTTTGACCCCAGTAAATCTGCTCTGAATACGTCTTCATATGTAAACTGTTTTTTTTTCTTAACTTTTGAAATCACTAACTTAAAATGTTTGATTTTTTTTTATTTCCTCTCTTTTTGAATTTTCTAGTTTTTTTATTATTCTTTCCTCTCCAAGTGTATTTGTTGCAAGTGTGCTTAAATTTTAAATTTTTAATTAATTAAAAAATATACATATCCACAAATTTATTTGCAATCTCAGTTGTCATTTTGGCGAATGTCGAATCTGTTAAAGATTCAATTTAGACTACCTACCTTAAAATAAGAGCCTTGTGAAACCAACTCCCAAGAGGATGTTTCCCCGATCACTACAATCTTAAACTGTTTAAGTTTAGGATTAACCGTTATCTTCCTTACATATCCGTACTGTGTCTTTTACTATTTAACCCTCTACATCGAGTGGCTCTCGGGTTTTGTGCAGGTTGAACATCATTGTAAAAAATGAAATTGTAAAAGCTTATATTTCTTTTCTTATCTCATTGATCTCTCAACGCCAATGAGGTAGGGCAATAGGTGTTCTATTCTAACTGTAAATATGTAAGCTCTATTTTTTCTTGACTTTTGAAATCAATACAGAACTTAAAATTCTTAACAAGCATAACGTGTTCAAGTCTAGGGTCAACAGATATCTTCCCCGCATATCCCCATAAACTGTGCCTTTTACTCTGTAACCCTCTACCTCGAGTGGCTTTTGGGCCTTGTACAGAGTAAATTTCATTGTCAAAAAAGAAAAAGCTCCTGTTTACTCAGATTTTCCAGATAAATAATTACTCATAGGTTTGTGTGAGTTCACATGTGAAACGAAAATTTTGATTTGAGTAATTTCTATGGCCATTCCTCCAAAGTTTTATAACTAACTGACCTTTGACTTTTCAGTACGTTCTTATGATTAACTTCTATTCTGTGCTTCTCTGCCAGCTGGAAATAAACAGGCTTTTTTTTTTTCCTTTGCGTCTAAACTCTAATAGACACGAGTGGAATTTATAATCCGAAGAAATTCACACAGCAGATACACATTCTCTTACAATTATATTGTCTTTTGATTTCAATACAACGCCTCAGTCCATATAATTGTTTGGCTTTCTTATATGGTCTGAAAAAAAAAATCCAAGATTCCACCAACCCCCATTTCTTTGAGTGACGTAAATCTCTGAAAGCCTTAACATTTGACCATAGTAGAACTGTTCTGAATACGTCTTCATATGTAAACTCTTTTTTTTCTTAACTTTTGAAATCTCTAACTTAAAATTATATGGTCTGAATTTCTGAAACGAAGTGTTTAATTATTTATTATTTCAATGAATGTATTGATGTCGTCTTCGATGTTTTTAAAACGGCATCTCAAACGATATTTACTTCAGACTTCTTTGAGAACCACTTATTTTCCCATTTTACATTTTTTTAACAGTATATACCAGTGAAACAGAATCGCAGGTGTCAATACTTCACGTTTTTACTTACTGAATATAGATAGATACACTCCTAATCAAAAATTTAAGACCACTTGAAATTTTTTTTAAAAAGACTGTTTTTCATGGAAAAATTTTAAACATTTCTTACTTAAGGTTACTAATTTTATAATCTAAAAGGTTATGTAGACAAAAAGTTATAATCCGAACATTGACATTTTTATAAAATGAGGCGTTTTACACTTGATCAAAATTATAAGACCAGAGACAAAAATTCTACGAAATTGTAGGAAAAGTGTACGAAAACATTCAACAACCAAATTTAATAATGAGTTCTACCTCCACTGGTTTTGATAACTTCAAAAATTCTTTGGGGCATGCTAGAAATTAGTGTTTCCATTAAGTTGCGAGGAATATTGCTCCAACTTCTGAAGATAGCTTCACGAAGTTCATTTTTTGTTGAATATTGTTTGCCATTTTGATAAACATCTCCTGCCATCCATCCCCAAACATTTTCAATTGGGTTTTAAGTCCGGTGAGCATGCAGGATGTCTCAAAAGATGGACCCCATTTTTTTCTAACTGAATTAAAATCATTGGAATTACCATAGATCCAACAATTTATACCCCCTGGTTTTATAATTTTGATCAAGTGTAAAACGCCTCATTTTATAAAAATATCCATTTCTGAATAAATTGATCGGATTATAAGTTTTTGTCTACATAACCTTTAGATTATAAAATTAGTAACATTAAGTAAGAAAAAGTTTATAATGTATCCATGACAAACAGTCTCTTATAAAAATTTTTCAAGTGGTCTTAAATTTTTGATCAGGTGTGTAGATAGAGACAGACAGACAGAAAGACAGAAAGAAAGAAAGAAAGAAAGAAAGAAAGGGATAGACACAGAGACAGAGAGATAAGTCTAGACTGGTCGAAATGTATTGATCGCAGTAAAGATGAAGACCATAGTAAAGTTTTTCTCAACCTTTTCTAGGAAGGCACGGTGGTGTAATGGATAGAGGCTCGGATTGAGGAATCGGAGAGCCGAGTTCGAATTTCAGTCGTGCTAATAACCTTGGGAAAAGGTATGAATCCTCTTCTTCTTCTCCTTCCAGCTATAGGTAAATAGCAGGACAGAACGGGTTCTTGGATGACAACTGATCTACCTCAGAAAGAACTCTGCCTCATCAGTCATGTATTATCAGATGATCGCCTAAGCGTGTATCACGCGTAGCACTGAACTGGCATCAGGGAGCAAATGAAAATATCTCGGCATACTTAATAACATTTTTAAAGCGTATACATTTAAATGTTATGAAATAAAACCATAGAATTAAAAAAAATACACACACGAATAAGAATTTACTTTATTTCAATGTTTCTATTCAACTATTAGGTTGGTGCAAAAATAATGACGTAATAATGTCGTTTTTTGACGTATTTTTTAACGTCAAAAAAACGACATTCTTACGTCATTATTTTTGCACCAACCTAATATTTGCGCAGCTTATTTAGTGTGAAACTGGCACCTGGGATTTTTCGTGATTTCTTCAAAATTTGGTCGAATTTGCGATGAGACGCTTAATAAATAGAAAATTACAATAAAACTGATAAAGCCTTTTTAGCTATTGTGGGATAAAAAGTTAAAGACTTATTCATTTATTCAAATACAAACGCTGTACCATTACCACTTCTACACACACAAACACACACACACATATGTATGGCATGGGGCACTTCAACGTGGTGTAGTGCTTAGCAAATTTGCGTCGCTAGATCAATTACGATTGAATACTGAGTTCGATCCTCACTGGGTGCTCCACATTTTCAGCCTTGTGCCGCATCTTAGCTACGCTTAGAAAATCGTTACGACTGAGTAGTGAGTATGATCCTCACTGGGTGTCCCCTACTTTCGGCCTTGTGCCACATCTAAGTTACGCTTGGAAAATCACTATATGTATGGTTAGACAATATTTCGCGGCACACTTATGAGGATAGCGCGGCACACCAGTGTGCCGCGGCACGGCGGTTGAGAATCACTGCCATAGTACAATCATTTAAAATCATCACAGTTGGCATCATCATACAGTCATTGTAAACTGTGCGATCCTTTCATTAGCTCCAAAGTATGTTCATCACCAGGCCTATATACGGTTTTAATTCAGAGTTGTCCTTCTCCTAGACTGGTTGCCACCCAAGGCTAAAGAGCTCTGTCTACCCTACTATTTAACCTATAGCTCGGAAGGATTCATGGATTCCTTTTTTTCCCAAGGATATTTGCGCGAAAGTGAATGCAACAGAATTCAACTAGAACGCGAACTAGGATCTCCTATTTCTCGTTCAGACCCTTATTCGTGACGTCACACGCACATTCATACAATGGCAGAAAAATACATGGAATGATGAATAGTCTTCGTCTAAGAAGTTCATTGATTGATTCGTTTTGTACGGCTTATCAACCCTTATCAGGTTATTTAAAGCCAGAAAGTATTTTCAAATTGTAAGAATTTTTTTGATAATAATGGCTAAGTGATTCAGGTATTACTACTCCACCTCTTCTTCCCCTTGCTGGGGGAGAAGAGGTGGATTCATAGCTTTCCCAAGGATATTTGCGCGAAAGTGAATATAACGATCCCAACGTGAATTGAAACTAAGTTCGATTAACAATTGCGAGTTGTTATTCATTACATCACCTGTACACCTAAGCTGACATCAACCGGTATTCCCAAGTGGTTACCCATCTAGGTACTGACCAGGCCCGGCATTGCTTAACGTCGGTGATCGTATGGGAAACGGTGTTTCAACGTGATGCTGGCCGTAAAGTTCAAGGTCGAAAGATCTAGAAAACTGGTAACAACTGGAAGAACATTTAAAATTATGCAAATATTTTATCACAGGACTTTGGCGAATAAACAGAACAAGCATTTTTGTCAGAACTTTTTCAGATACCTGAGACAACTAGGGTCAAGGGCCAAGGGTCAATTGGAGGAATGAACTTTGATACAGAGACTTATCATAATACTTGGTTGTTATCCTAAGGCAAACAGTGCGATGCGCCTCACAGGTGAGGCCGAAGAGGATAGCAGGTGAGGCGGAATGACTGAAAGACATTCAAAGTATTAGAAACATTTTTTAAAAAATCCTATGCCATAGATAAATATGATTTCCAAATGTAAAATATTATTAAGGATGAGTTGTAATTGCGTACAGGAAACCCAGTTTAAATAGTTATAAATAATTATTGACCGATTTTATCATTGTGATATTTTTGCATTATATCAAGTATTAAGAATATAGTCACTAGGGTCTGCAAATTGGAGGAGAGAGTTATCAATGATAATGTTCTTACTTTGAATCCGTGCTTATCTTCCTTTAACCATCTCTGTTTTTTTTTTATTTTAAATTTTTAAATGTATTTTTTATCACATAAAATTTGGTGAGGCGCGAGCAAATTTTCATTCCGAAAATGAAGCCCAGAGAAAAAAAAAATTGGGAAACCACTGTCTTAAAGGCAATATTAAAAGAGTCTATATAAACGACGGGGAGCCAGTGGGCTCATTGCTGGTGAAAAGGAAAATGACAACAGGCCAATGTTTAATGTTTTTTACTTCCTCTATTCCACGCTAGATTTCTGCATATGAAGGAAATGAACGTTTTTTTTTTCTTTTATTGAAGAGGTTACGACTTCCGGTTTCTTTTGACTTCTTTTCCACATTTCTCTCTCTCTCTTTCTTTCTATTTCTGATTCCCAAGTCCACCCTGACCCGGGGGTGGTAACCCCTGTTAAAGGTTCCAGCTATGTGCAAATAGTGAACCCCCAGACAGAAACAACACACTATGAAAGTAAAAAAAATACATTCTAATCGTAAAAATAGATTTATATATGTAGTGGAACCTCGGTTGACGAATTTAACTCGTTCCTGAAGGCCGTTCGTAACCCAAAATGTTCGTAAACCGAAATTATTTTTATCAATATAGAGAAAAAAAAAAGTCATAATACAATAAAATTGGAAAAGAAAAACACGGCACAACACACAAATGTATATAACACAGCGGTCGAAAGGAAAGGTATGAATCCTCTTCTTATCTCCATCTATTGGTAAACAACAGACCGAGTTCTATAGCGTTGGATGGCAACTGGTCTACAAAGAAATGGCAACCTACTGCAGGAAAAATCTGTCTCGTCAGTTATGTATCGCAAGAAACATGATCGACTAAGCATGGCACATAACTGACTGATCGTGTCTGAATTGCTCACCATACAGTATCAGTTACTCAAGATTAATGTGAGAGGATATTTTCTGTTCGAAAGATAATAAAGACGAGGTTAAGAAATTCGCTGTCTGAAGAGAATGTATAATCATACATGTTGCTATACATTGAAAAGAGCTTGTTAGATGAACTGGATACAGAGGCAATTATTGGTAGATTCACATGACCCACTAGTGAACAAAAACGATGACTCTTAATATACTGGACCGCATGCAAAACTCTATTGTGCTTTTGAACTATCTTTTAATGTGTAAATTGTGCCGAAAAGTATTTACAAATTATTAACCAATTACTTAAGATTAAAGAATAAAAAAAAAATTCAATTATAACATCCTGTATTTAAATTTGGTATCTACTGTCAGTAATATATAGAGTACATGTATATTATTAAAGGATTAGTGTAAATTATAATGTCAATATCATAAGTCAGTAGGCTATTTTATATTTTTATATTAATTAATTATTTTATATTAATTATAGGTTGGTATATATTACTGGATCATTATACAATTATAATGTTAGTATCCAATTGTAGGATAAGTATCTTATTATAGCGTTAGTATACGATTATAGGGTTAGCATACAGTTATTGGAATGTATCCTATTATAGGGTTAGTACCCTATTATAGTTTTTGTATCATATAGGGTTAGTACGCGATTATTGGTTTCGTATCATATTATATAAAACATATAACAGGATACTAGCCCACTTATAATGTTAGTACAATATTATAGAGTCATATCCTACTATAGAGTTGGTAACCTATTATAATTTTATTATCAATTACATGTTTACTGTCCTATTATAATTTTAGTAACGCTTTAAAAGGCTAAAATGCTTATATGGTTGTATCCTATTATAAGATTACTGCCCTATTATAATCGTCTTCTATTAGAGTGTTACTATTCTATTATAGGTTTAGTACTTAATTAAAATGTTAATATCCAAGTATAATGTTAGTATCATGTTATAAGGTTAGTTCCCTATTATAGTGTTCGTATGCTATTATAATTTTATTGTCCAAATATAATGATGTTACCTTATTATGTGGTTAGAAACCTATTATAATGTTACTGTCCTATTATAATGTTAGTACCTATTATAATGTTAGTACCTATTATTGGGTTTATATTGTATTATATACAACCATATAATAGGATGCTAATCTAATTATAATGTTAATATCCTATATAGGTTTAGCACCCTGTTATAATTTAATATCATATTAAAAGATTAGTACCCTATTATTGGGTTACTATTCTATTATAGGATGCATCCTATAATAGGATTGTACCTTATAATGCTAGTAAATTATTTTTATCATATAGTTTTAGGGCCCTATTATAAGGATGTTTCCTATTATAGAGTCTGTACCCTATCATAAGGATGTTATGTTTTATAGGGTTACCACCATATTATACGATCGTACCCTATTACTGAGATGTTTCCTATTATAAGATCAGAACTCTATTATAGAGACATTTTGTAATATAAGATCTCTACTTTATTATAGGGCTGTATTTTAGGTACAGTACCATATAATAGAGATTTTTACCATTATAGGGATAATACATTATTTTAGTATCGTATTATGAGGATGTATTAAAGAGTTATATACTATTATAACATAAGTAAGTTATTAAAGGATTATTATAATGTTAGTATCCTATTATAGGGAAGTATTCTATTATAGTGATATATCCTATTATAAGATTAGTATACTATTACATGAATGCATACTATTCTAGGGTTGTAACCTATTCTAGGTTTAGTATCATATTATAGGGATAGTTCCTATTATAAATTTAGTACACTATTAGTATCCAATAAAAATGTTAGCATCAGGCTAAATGATTAGTTATGTATTATAGTGCTAGCATACTATTATAATGCTATTGTCCAATTATAATGTTAGTTGCCAATTAAATAGTTTGTAACCTATTATACGGTTGGTAACTAATTACAGTGTCAGTGTCCTATTGTAATTTTAGTGACCTATTATTGGGTTAGTATTGTCTTATATTAGTGCCCTATTGTAAGATTGTATCCTATTATAAGTTTATGACCTTGTTATAATTCTGGAAAATATTTTAAGTTTGGAATATGTCTATTATATGGATGATTCCTATTATATGGTCAGTTTCCTATTATAGGGTTATTTCCTATTATATTGTTAGTAAGATAATAGAGTAGCATATATCAGCATATTATAGGGATGTTTTTATTATAATGTTAATACACTATTAACAGATGTTTCTTATTACAGTGTTAGTAACATATAGGGATGTATCCTATAATGTTAGTACCATATTATATGTTTAGTACTCTATTATAGGGATGTTTCTAAGTATAAGATTAGTACTCTATTATAGGACCGTATCCTGTTATAGGGTAAGTATTCTACTATAGAGATGTGTCCTATTATATTGTTGTATACTATCATAGGCTTAGTGTCCTATTATATACGACCATATAATAGGATACCTGCCTAATTATAATGTTAGTAAAAGTTTATAGGGTTGTATCCCATTATATGTTTTATACATTGATGCAATTTTAGCATCTTGTTATAGAGTTTGTACCGTATTATTAGGTTTCTATCATATTATAGGATTTATCCGATTATATGGTTGTATCTCCTAATGTTAGTAAGTCATTTGTTAGTATCATATTATGGGTACATTACTTATCATAGGTCAGTCCCCTATTATTGGTCTGTATCATATTATATGGTCAATTAAATATTTGATATAGTCCTATAATAGGAAAAATATAGGTTTTCATCCTATTATAGGGATGTAATCCAGAGTTGTATACAATTATATGGCTGGTATACTATTATGGGGTTGTATATTTTTATAATGTAACTATTTTATTAGAGTGTTTAGAACCCTATCATGTTAATATCCTATTATCGCGTTAGTATGCTATTATAATATTTGTATTACATTATAGGTTAGTTTCCTATTATCGCGTCTGTATACTATTGCAGTATCAGTATCCCATTATAATATTAGCATTTTATAGAAAGGTTAATATCATATTATAATGTTAATACGCTATAATAGTGTTAGTATCCTATTGCAATGTTAGTATCTTATGTTTAGTATACTATTATGACATTACTATCCTAATACAGGGTTATTATCCTTTTACAATCTTAGTATTTTATAATGCTATGATAGTATATCTGTGTACATTTTCTGTTTTTTGCGTGTGTATGTTTGTGGAAATAAGTGATAAAATAATATAATAAGTGATACTAACCATAAAATAGGATACTAACGCCATAACAGGATTGTAACCCTGTATTAGATATTAACACTGTAATAAATACTAACATTATATTAAGTTACTAACCTTATAATATAGTAACATTATAAGAGTATACTACACCTGGGATAGACAATATCCCTATAATAGTAGCATACTTAACATATAATAGTATACTAACCCTCTTATATAGTCTTCATATCTATATATCTATCCAATGATCGACTTGATTTATCGATGTTTAAATTAATTTGAATCATTATTTGTTTCGC